CTTTAAAAGTCAGACAAAATGATTTTCTCAAAAAAAAATTTCACATTTTGTCTCTCATAGGTCTACGTATGATGTCAATTACAGGCCTCTCTCATCTTTTTAAGTGGGAGAACTTGCACAATTGGTGACTGACTAAATACTTATTTTCCCCACTGTACCTATGATGTCAATTACAGGCCTCTCTCATCTTTTTAAGTGGGAGAACTTGCACAATTGGTGACTGACTAAATACTTATTTTCCCCACTGTACATAGTCTTTCAGTTTGTCAATAACTGTTTACTATTTATGACTATTTACTTTAAAAGTCTCGTAATTTCCTCGTACTTAAATACAATACATCTATGTCATTAGCCAACAAGGATTTAATGCTTCGCCTGCAGGCTACTCCAACCCCTGCTGTCTGTCTGAAGACCACTCCCCGGGCAACTGAACATCCATCTCCACGGCATGCCTCACTCCATCATGTGTCACACTCTTGGTAAGACAATACAAACTTCTGTTTCCCAAATCGACCAGGATGTCTTTGTGAGTGTGTGTGTGTTTTCAAAATTTTAGCAAACTTCATGCTTGATAAGAAGCTGTGTGGGTCGGTGTGTGTGCGAGTGTGTGGACATCCTTTTATCTGCAACAGTCTGTGCCTCAGCAGGTGCAGAACCTCGAGGCAAATATGAATGGTTTGATATCACAAGATACATCTGGTATGTGGACAGTTTTGCTCAGCTTTGTGTATACAGTATGTCTGCACAGTCTGCGTGTGCATGTGTGTGTATGGCAACAATATTGGCCCTAAACTGAAGCAGTGTGCATTTTGCTCTGCTGACTGTGTATAAAAGTAAATCCATGCTTTTTGATCATTTGTAGATTACTCTTTTCCAATGTTTTCTCATTGTTTGTGTGTCTACTATCATTTTTCACTGAACAATAGATGCAAAAAAAAATTCACTATCTATGTTTAAGCCCTGGTGTACACCAGTATTTTGATTTCAAGGTAAGTTTTATTGTAATATTATTATTTAAAAGAGGTTGTTGCACATTGTTTTATGCACAGAGGCTTCAGTGCTAATCCTAAACTGTAAGGTCAGCATCAGTGACTCACCAGGTTGGCCTCGGTGGGTGCATGGTACTTCTCTGTGCCCATACGAACCAGGCCGTCGTTGTAAAGGAAAATGCGAAGCGGGTCACAGGAAGTGACCAGAATGTAGATGCGCAGGTCAAACTTGTAGCCCTCCATCAGAAATGGCTTGTCCAGGTACTCCTGAACAATAAAGTGCTCCTGGGCTGGCAGCTTCTCACAGTTACGAATAAGCGAGATCCTGTATGGAGACAGACTTTATTAATCCTCGCGGGGGGAAATTATGGTGGCATAATAAAATATGGCATGACAAAGACAAAAAAAGATAATTAAAAAAATGATAGATGGAAGCATAGCAGAGCCCATGAACATGACTGATGATTTTGGCACTGTCTTATATCCATGTTGAAGCCAAAAATCGAGGCAAACAAGATACGTATTTTATGTTTCATTGCAATATTTCATTGCAAAGTCACTGGTAAAACTTGGAGGCATATTTCTGATGTGTTACTTCTGCCCATTTTGGCAATATTTAAAGTCTGCACATCCCTAACCTAACTTTGGCCTTCTGCTTTTTGTAACAGATAATGGACAATAACTATAAATTTTACAAGCAATTGATGCAACCAATGGGGGAGAATATTAAAATGTGTCCTTACTGTGCACATAATGAACCTAAAACTCCCATTWAAGATTTTTAGCATGAAGAGACAAAAGGGTCAGAGCCAAGGTTCCCTGGTATTCATGAGACTTTTTAACACCACAAAACCTTCATTTAAAAAAAATGTAAGTAAGAGCAACACTTGTCTTCCCTGGGGTGAATTTTATTTTAAAAAAATGTTTAAAATTTTAAAATTTTAAATTTCGACCACCTGCGTAATATCACTAAAACTAAAAACATCTTGTCCAAAAATGATGCAGAAAAACTTATTCATGCATTCATCACATCTAGAC